CCCCAAAACCCCAAAACCCCAAAACCCCAAAACCCCTTAGATTTTTTATTATTTTGAAAGAAGGAATTTAAAAAAAGAGAAATGAAGAAGGATCGTCATTGTAATTTTTTCTATTTTTCACCAGATCTATTCAATCACTATAAATTGCTAACAATAAATAGTGCCTCCAATACAAGACAAGTCAGAAGATTTTAACTCAAATACAAATATTTTCAAAAGAGAGCCAGATCTCAAATCACCAAAATTATCTGAAGACCGAGAGACTGAAGCCAGTCAGATACACAATGAAGCAGGTACCATCCTAATAATCCAAGCTGTGAATCATATAGGTGTCTATGTCAGGAGCCAATTTGGGTGGATCTTTCTGAACCCTGATGATATCCTGCCTGTCCAAAGTACTCCAGTTGTTTACAGAATTTAGACACAAAAGATTATGAACAAGTCGTCTCTAAGAACATCCAAACTCTGGCTCAGTCAAGCCGAGGATTCAAGGGAAAAGTTACCCTCGCCATGCTTGAAGATGAGCCATATGCTCCAGTTCAAGATCCGAGGAGGTATCAAGAAGTTGGGTCTGAAGAGATAAAAGCTCCTCCTGAAAAATTGGAGAAAAAGAATGGCAAAAGAGCAACTGTTCTCTGTTGTTCATCCGTCTGGTTCATGGTGGTGTTCTTCCTATTCGACCAAATCGTCCAAACCTTACGTAAGAAGCTCAATGACTACATGTAGAGGTGATGTGGGTGTCTATCTTTATGGGCTTATCATGGGTGACAACTATCAAGGATATCTCAAAAGGGCTTGATATATTCAGCATCAATCTCAGTGACGAAGCATACACAGCCTCAATTATCATATGTATTGCAATTATCTTCATTTTTGCAATATTCACTTGAGGAGGAAGTAAGGCTCTATTTTAAAATATAGTATTTGGGTTCTGTGACCTAGACTGTTGCTGTTTCGACGATTTAGAAGATTTGATATCAATGTTTGTCTTTGAGTATTTTTTCTTCGGCTTCTTCGCTATTCCAATCATGAAGATCCTCCTACAAACATACGATTGCACCAGAAATGAGAATGGCGACAGAGTTTTGTCCAGAAATAGGAGCTTAGGTAAACTAAAGTATACTTACATTTAGAATGTGAGTCTTGGGAACAGATTACCCTCTTCCTCTGCGCAATGATTTCTCTTTCTCTCCTCATAGCAGGTGCTGTATTCAGAAATCTTGCCAAAGAAGAGGAAATGCACTTCCTCGGCTACGAATGGAGACTAAAAATTGGAATTAAAAGACTTATTATAAAAGAGATGGCCTTAAAGACAGTTGTCATGGTAATTGCTGTCTTTGCACCAAGCAGACTGCACTTCCCTGCATTGATTTGCTGTGTTCTAATCCTCAGCTTTTTAATCTATTGGCTTATAAAGATGCCATATGTGATAAACAAATACAACCATATCGTAATTGAGTTTAACTGATACTTTAGAAAGTAGCAATGCTTGCTGTATCAGCTCATTGTTTCTTTGCTTCATTCATTTCAACATTAGACAGAGATAGTGATGGCCTAAAAACTGTAAATTCCACTGCTAAATACATAGTTTGCAAGCATAATATTCCTTCTCAGCCCACTCTCAGGAATCTCAGGCTTCTTCATAAGTCAATGGAGAGCTAAACACGTTTTTTATGATGAAGAAACAGAGATTGCCTACAAAGAAAAACTTCAGGTATTTTTGGTAACTTTTGGATAGATAAAGGATGTTAAAAGCTACGAAGATACACTTATGTAAGCCTCCTGGATTAAAATATAGCATAAAAAAACTCACTCTACAGAAGGAGTTCATTGGGATCAAAATCCTGTCCATCAAGACTTTGGAGCAGTTCAACCACTTCATATTTGGAGAGTCAAGTAACTTCCTCTATAATCGCTAGAAATCTTAGAAGGAGAGTTCAAGGTTAACGGCGATGAAGGCATGATCAACCTTTGTATCATCTTAGCTACTCTTGCTACTTTCCAGCAGCAACCAAAGATGTACTTTTCTAAACTCATTATCAGAGCTGACAAAGAAGACCAAGGTAGATTCAACGGAGTAATTTCATAGCTGCTCAAGTCAAGTTCACTCAAAAGTCAGAAGAAGCATTCGCAGAGGCTTACTTTGCTGGATGTTTCCGAGTTATAAAGCATCTCCAGTTCAACCAATTCCACCTCGAGGCTAAGCAAGCCCTAAATGTGACTAGTTTCTTCAAGGATAGTCCAACTCTGGAGGTATTTCCCCATATGTGATTTATAGACTGTCAATTTCTCAAATAACCAGCTTGACCATAAAATAGTATCAGCCATAATTGGGAAGCTATATGACAATAAAGAGTTAAAGTTCATTGATGTCTCCAGTAATGCTGTATATTCAGACAAGCAGATTGAAATCCAGAATAAGTATAACTACAATCATGAAGTACAGATCATATTCGCATAGGTATACCCCATTGTGAAATCTAGTCAGACTTGAGAATTTGGAAGCACAGGAAAAGGATATCTCTGACATTTGGAATTGCTTAACTAATCAAATATTCTGATTTAGCTACATTCTAAGAAGGGTTTTCATTTGATATCTATGACCCAATTAAGGAAGCCTCTAGCATATACCTTAATCAGTATCAAGAATGGTTTTATTCCATCTCCCATATGTAAAAGGCTTGAATATGAAGTTACTAAATCCAGTTAGTCATCTTATCTATTGAAAGAATTTGTGGTACCCTCTTCATCATCAAAATTTCTAAATTTGTTATATCTCCAGTATGATACGAACTTTTCCTTGTTATTCTTTAGGCTTCTTTACATGTATGCTACCCATATCTTATACTTCTCCTTCTTGCTCCTTGCATTATCTCTCAACCTAATTAAACTGATAGCTAACAGCTTATGAGCCTGGCTAGATCGCAACTTTTATTCCTCACAAGAATATAATATCTTGACCTTAGGTAAGCTACATTGCAAAAGAGCCCACAATATTTAGAATTTTCAAAATGTTGGCTTCCCTAACCATTTCAGCATTTCAAGGGAAATTTTTATTGAAGGGGTTTTGGGGTTTTGGGGTTTTGGGGTTTTGGGG